TGGCCTGGTGCATGTTGAGTCAGGATGATCCAGGATGGCTTGCTACCCGCAGGGGCGGTGGGTTTACCGTTTACCAGTTCTACAAGTCGGGCAGGCGCTGGCGCCACTGGGGCCGAACTCTTGGCAAACATCCACGCGTGCGGCATGGCAGGGGCAACGAGCTCGAGCTGGAATCCTCTGATGTGCCTTGGCAGGGTCAATGCTGGCAGCTGCTGGCAATGCTCGCAGTCGGGCAGGCATTGGAGTCGAACTCGGCGTTGCGACATTTTTTGTTTCGTGATGCCCGGTGGGATCCAGCGTGGCAACGCTGATCTCTACTTCGCTTGGAGGCGCTGGAACCGAATTGAGGCAAACCTCATGACTCATGCAAGTCGGCCTGGTGGGAGCAACGAACGCTGCAAATCCTTTCAGGGGGGCCTAGTCACTCGTCACTAGTCCTAGTGACCTAGTGGCAGCGACGCTCGGGCAGGCGCTCGAGTCGCATGTCAGCGACCTGGTTGTGGCAGCTTTGTAGCAGCAGCTAGCAATGCTGATTTCTTCATGGAGTGGGAACAGTGCGACGTGCTCTGGGCGCCTGGTTCATGGGTTCGGGCAAACCACTGTTTGCGCGTTTTCCCAGCATTGCTCCGACGTGCTTTCTGTCAAATAGGTCGCGCGCGTCGCGCGCAGTGCAACGGCAGACGCGACGGCGAGCCCGGCGCACGGCGGCCGCGTCGATTGTTCTGCTCAGGCAGGGGCCAGAACAGGAGAGGGGGAGGATGAGAAGAGTCTTAGAAGGGGTGGGGGGCCGGAAGGGAGGTGGACGAGCAGAGGAGGAAGGCGACGGTAGGCAGGGGTGGGCGAGGACGAGGGGGCGGGGAGGAGGGACGACGGCAGGAAACGACAAAGGAAGGGAAGCAAACGAGGTGGAGGAAGAGAGGAAGCGCTGCACACGATCCGTTCTCTGTTGGTTATATCCACTGCTGCGCGGGATCCGCTGTTTTTGTTGTGAGCTTGTCTGGTTTGCATGCGGTTTTCATATTATTTTGATATTATTTGTGTATTTTGAGCATTTTCGGCAATACGTTGTGAGCCTTTGGGCTGGGTTGTATTAATACAAAAACAATGCAGAAATAATACGAGCGATATAGGAATGCCGCCTGTATTTTTATGATATTAATAGAGGGCGGTTTGTTTCTATGTTTTCGATAATAATAGGGGGCAACTTGTTTCTATTTTTTCGATAATAATAGGGGGTTTGCTCTTTTTGAGCTCCTCAGGAGCTTTGCCGGATATAGCGCAATTCCAAGGGCAGAACCACCTCTAGGGTGGGGCACAGCGCACAGCATTGGCAATTGTCATCATATTCTGGGCCCCCCGCCCACCTGCCGCGACGACGCTCCCGCGCCGCTGCGTGCGATTTGGTTCCGGACTTCGGTTCGACGATCGGCCGATCTTCTCTGGTGCGACGCAGGGCGGGCGTCGAAGTGCCCCGGCGATCACCCCTTCATTTAGCACGCCTGCGCCGCTGCCCGTTCTCTCCCGCTCAGACATAACGTTTCGGTCCAAAGAGCTTTTGAATTCGCGGTCGCAGATTGCCTGAAAGCTCCCGGCGGGCGGCGGCCCGCCACTCGAGCGTGGCACATGGGCGCCCCAATGGGGGCAAAACGTGACGACGTCTTAGGCGGGGGCCTCGTCTGCGAGTGAATGGCGAGGAAGGTTCGAACGGGGGCGCCGCGCGCTTGTGCCCTGCATTCCACGTTAGTAATCCAAGCTGGTCATCGGGTAATTTCAGCACGCATAGCGTTTTAGCACTTCATGGAGGCGCATCGCGAGGACGTCTCAGGCGGGGGCCTCGTCTGCGAGTGAATGTCGAGACAGTCTCAGGCGGGAGTTCCGCCCCCATGGGGCCCGCGCGTCACGCTGCTAATCCGAAGCGTTTTTCGGGGAACTTCGCCAGGCGTAGCACTGGTGCGCCCCGAATGGGCAAATCGCGAGGATATCTCAGGCGGGCGCTCTATTCGCGAGTGAATCGCGAGGGTGCTTCGAACGGGGGCCCCCTCCGCATGGGGTCCGCGCGTCATGTTTCCAATCCGCGGTCGCTCATGTTCAGGCCCAGCGAGCAGGAGCTCACGCGGCAGAGCTCGGGGCCGCGCGCCGTCCGCCGCCCGAGATTCACCGCGGCGCGCGCGCCCAGCCTTTTCCCCGCGCTCTTGCAGGGCCAGACGCTGCGCCAGGGCGTCGCCATCGATTGCGCCAGGGGCGAGGACGCTGGCCGCGCGGGCATGTCGGACGACGAGCGGCGGCTGCATCTCTACGTCATGTCCCCCCGCGCCACGCGCACGCGGAACGCGCTGATTGCGCGGCCGCCCTCGCGAGAGTTCCCGGGGCGAGGGCCGGCGGCGCTCTTGCGGCAGGTGCATTCGGCGTTCGACGAAAGAGTGGTGAGCTCCAAGGCGGACGCAGGGCAGCTTGCAGTAGGGCTGGGCGCCGCACTGCCCCACGCGCGAGCTCGGCGGCGCCGCGCTCGAAACCCGCGGCGCCGCCTCGCGCGCCAGCGGCCCGCGGGGTTGCCCCGACGGCCTGGCCCGCGGGGTTGCCCCAGCGGCTTTGCGATCTGGCCGCCCAGGAAAGCACCCCTGGCGGCCCGCGTGGCGACGGCGCCGAGCGATGTCGGAATGTGTGCCCGCGCATGAGGAAAGTGGGAGGAGGCGGAGGGAGGAGGAGGCAGGATGAGGCAAGGGACAATGGCAAAGCGGGGGGCGGGAGGATAGTTTCCGCCAGGGCGAGAGGGAGAAGGGCTCAGAGGAGGCAAGCAGAAAGCCTTCGAAATCACGAGGGCGACGACGAGGACTGCTGAGGACAAGCCGGGGGGGTTTTCATGCGGGGTCCTTCCGTCGGAGTCATCCGGGTGGCGGTAGTTCCCATTGGTACAATAGGGCGGAGAGGGATTGGTGGAGTAGGGTGGGGATGGCGTCCCAAACCGGCATCAGCAAACCAGGTCCCAATAAACTCAATCTTGCCAGTGCCCGACAGAAGATCGGCGGCGCGCCCAGGGGGGGTCAAGGGCTACGCTAGGGGGAATGATTATGGGGGGCAGTTTCGAGGCTCGAAGTTTTAAGCTTCCTGTTTTTGTTCGTCGCTTTTGTTTTCCAGCTTCGGGGTGTTTTCCGGCTGCTGCGCCTCGTCGAGATCGGTCCTGGGGTGCTTGGATCGTCCCGAGCGGCCGCTGGAGAGGCGAACCATGACCCGAAAACCAACTGGCAACGCCAGGGGGCGATAGGTTCAAGGGATGACGCTTCGACCCCCAATCGCCCCCACTGATTGCAGATTTTTTGGAGGCCTGGTAGCCACATCCTGCCCAAGACCGTGCGAATTTGCCATCGGGGGCCTGTCGCCGAGTTGTCAGCGACGTATCGCCCATTCCAGGTCGATGTCGCCCCCCGAGCCAATCCCAATTGATCGTTCCCCCGCAAGAAGACAGAGGGGTCGTGCCTTCTATGAAGGCTCAGAAGGCCTCTGGCCTTTTGAGAAGTTCGCCAAATCACTTCTGAGGCCACCGGTGGCTTCTCAGAAGGCCGGAGGGTTTCTGAGAAGCCCCGCCGCCATGCGAAAAGGCCTGCCCCTCCCGCTGCGCCATCGGGTTTCGAGTTTCTCTGATGTGTTCGTCGGTGTTCGTCGTCTTTCCAGCCGCGCAATGCCTTCCAACGTCTGCGCTTCGCCGAGAGCGATCTGGGGGTACCCGGGTCGTCCCGAACGGCCGCCAGATGCCCGAGCCATGATTTGAAAACCACCAGATATCCAACGATATGTTTGTCCAACCTTCAACGTGCGTTTTTGTTCTTCGATCTGGGCTTCATGGGGCCATTACTGGGCGCGGGGTATCAAGGATGGGTCCAGAGCAACAGAGTTGGCCCAAAGGAAAGTGTCGGGACCTGCGGGGCCGCGCATTGAAGCAATAACATCGCCAGATGATTGGGGCATGAGCCGGCGCGGAAGTCGTCAGAGCACGAACCTGCCGCAGGGATGGGTGGGCGGAGGGGAGGGGGGGGAGGGAGGGATTGACGGATGCGGCAGTTGAAGACAAGGCTCAAGTCGGGCATGCCCCTCGACAGTAAGAAGATTCAAGAATTGTCAGAAATAGTCTAGTGCCAGCTTCCGTCCATCACCACACGTCATGGAGTATGTTATGACAGTGCTTATATCTTTCTCTCGAGATCCGCCTGTACGCGGACATGCCCGACCTGAGGCCGGGCGTGTGGTGTCTGAGGATCGAGAGCCGCTAGGTCTCCAGCAAGGTCCCCAGCAGGTCCCCAGCAAGGCTCTCCAAGGTCGACAGGAAGACTTCCGACCGGCCTCCCACGAGGCATTAAAGAACTGATCAAGGAGGCCTCCAGCGTACGACCAGGTCGCCAGCAGGGCCACAAGAGGCTCCCAAGGAGTGCCCGGCGATTTCCGGATCTTGTCTGCCCGCGCCGGGTCCACAGAGGCCATCCGCGGCGCTCCACGAGAGGCCCAGGGCCCGGCGCCCCGCACCGAGGCCGCCGCGGGCTGCCTGTGCTGTTGGCCCAGCAGGCCCCCTCTTGGGTCTCGGAGGAGTCCCTGGGGTGCTTTGGGGGCGGCCGCGGGTCTGCGCGGGGCACGATCGCGGGCGGCGCCGTGCGCTCGGTGGCGCGAGGCGTTCCCCTCGCAGCGCCAGCTGTCGCGGCGGCGCCGTGGGGAAGTCGCTGCTTGCGCTGGCGGGCGCTCACCAGGGTGGAGCCCCCTCCTCCTCAGCGGTTGAGCCAGCAGCTTGCCTGCTGCTCCTCGGTTCCTCTCGATCCTCGGTGCCCAGAGGCAGAGTCGCGTGGGCGTTCCTCGATGCTCCTCCTGCCCCCTAGGGCCTTGGGACCTCGGGGGTGACAGCGCGAGGGCGAATATAGCAGGGCGGCGAGAGACAGACAGTCAGTCAGATGAGTAGCGAGAGTATGAAGATACTGATTGATTCGGTTGCCCAGCTTACCTGCTTGCAGCTCCGTGAGGACGGAGTTGCTCGGCTGGGCGAACAGTGCGCTCGAGCTCAACCTCACCAAGGCCTCTCCCGAACCCCCCTGGGTAAGCTCAATAAACCAACAATGTGTTCGATCGTATCTATATCGGAGAGGGGCCAACTTTGGGTACAGGCGCCTTTTTTTCATGGCGCTGCAGCCCTCGAACAGCGCGGAAAGTACGAGGGTTCTGGCGCGGCGGAGCTGGCCTGAGGGGGAGGAGGGAGAGGAGGAGGAAGAGAGAGGAGCTCTCCCTCCCTTCACTCTGTCAGGGACGAGGAGGAGGACAATTGAGATCTCTCTCTCTCTCTTCCTCCCTCCTGAGAAAAAGGAGGCTCTCCCCACATGTTCCCCCCCTGAGAAAACACACACTCTCTCGCTCTTTCTCTTTCCCTTTCTCTCTTTCTCTCCTCTTTCTCTCTTTCTCTCTCTGCCTTTCACTTTGAGTCTTGATTTGTGCATGTTTTATATGTTTCTCTCTCTGTCTGTCTCTCTCTCTGTATTTGCATGTATATGTATACATATGTATCGCTCTCTCCCTCGTCTGAGGACAAACATGTTTCGTATATCTCTTTTTCATATACATATACATGTATATTCACACATATACATCGGAGGTGAGGGGGTGAGATCGAAGTGGAACGGAGAGCCCCCCTGCCCGGAAATCGGTTTCGGTTTCGTGTTCGTGCGTGCCGTGCGTGCGGGCGAGGCGAAGTTGCGTGGGCAAGCGAGAAATGTCCCGCCTCTGGCTGAGGCGCGGCTGGACCAAAAGTCTCCCTTCCGGCAACCGGTGCCCCGCGGTGTCCCGCCGGTGTCCCACCCGTGTCCCGTCGGTGTCCCGATGATGATGATGATGATGATGATGATGATGATGATGATGATGATGATGATGATGATGATGATGATGACGATGATGACGATGATGACGATATTGATGATGAATATGATGATGATGATGATGATGATGATGAGATGATGGCCACGGTGGTGATGATCATGGTGTCCCGATGATGATGATGGTGATGATGATGATGTTGTTGATGTTGATGTTGCTGATGATAATAATGATGGTGTCCCGATGGTGATGACGAAGATGTTTATGATACTGATGATGTTGATGATGATAAGATGATGATGATGATGATGATGATGATGATGATGGTGTCTCGATGATGATGATCATCATGGTGTTGATGATGGTGGTGATGATGAGGATGGTGTCCCGATGATGATGTTGATGATGATGACGATGATTGTGTCCCGATGATGATGATAATGATGTTGATGATGAGGATGATGATGAGGTGATAATGATGATTGAGATGGTGGTGGCCCGATGATGATGATGATGCTGTTGATGATGATGATGATGATGATGGCGTCCCGATGATGATGGTGATGATGATGATGGTGACGATGATGATGGTGCCCCGATGATGATGATGATGATGATGATGATGATGATGGTGACGATGATGATGATGATGATGAGCATGTTGATGATAATGTTGCTGATGATGATGATGGTGTCCCGATGATTATGATGTTGATGATGTTGTTTATGATGATGATGATGATGATGAGATGATGATGATGATGATGATGACAGTGGAGTTCCGATGTTGATGATGATGATGATGGTGTCCCGATGATGATGATGATGATGATGATGATGATGATGATGATGATGATGATATTGAGGATGATGATGGTGACGATGATGGTGTTCCGATGATGGTGGTGATGGTGATGATGATGATGATGGTCATGGTGGTGATGTTGATGCTGTCCCGATGTTGACAATGCCGATGTTGCTGATGATGATGGTGTCCTGATGATGATGATGATGATGGGATGGTGATGAAGATGATGACGATGATGGTGTCCCGATGATGATAACGATGATGGTGCTCGATGCTGATAATGATGAAGATGTTGATGATGAGGATGATGATGAGGTGATGATGGTTTTGATGATGTTGGCCCGATGGTGATGATGATGATGTTGATGTTGATGATGCTGATGTTGATGATGATGGTGTCCCGATGATGATGATGATGATGATGATGATGATGATGATGATGAAGATGTTGCTGATGATGATGATGATGGTGTCCCGGTGATGATGCTGTTGACGATGATGTTCATGATGCTGATGATGAGGTGAGGGTGATGATGATGATAGTGGTGTTCCGATGATGATGATGATCGTGTCCCGATGATGATGTTGCTGATGATGATGATGATGATGTTTATGATGATGATGGTGACGATGATGGTGTCCCGATGATGATGGTGGTGATGATGATGTTGATGATGATGGTGATGAGGTGGTGGTGATGATGGTGTCCCCATGATGATGATACTGATGACGTTGATGACGATGATGCCGATGATGCTGATTATGGCGTTGATTGTAAGATAGATTGTGATATTGATAGTGATATCGATAGTGAGACCGAATGTCAGCTAGATTGTGAGATCGATAGTGAGATCGATAGTGAGATCGATTGTGAGATCGATGGTCATACCGATTGTGAGACCGATCGAAAGGAAATAGATAGAGCGATATCGATTGTGAGATCGATCGAGTGAGATCGATCGAGCGAGACCGATAGTGAGATCGATCGGACGATCGTAAGTGAGACCGATCAAATGATACGCTGGTTCCTCCCCCCCCCGAACCCCCTTATCATCCGAAGATGGTCGTATAGGTGTGTATATATATATAGTTATCTCCCTCTCTCTCTCTCGTCCTCCCTGTCCTTCGTGTTCTCTCTCTCTCTCTGCCTCTCGTACTCTGTGCTTATAGGGAGAAACGTGCAGAGGTACTGCCGCATTTCCTGCTTATGTATGTGTATACGGATTTGTTCAGCACATGTTATTTGAGGAAGACACAACTGTAAGGATTATTTAGAGAGGATTCTTCCAGGAAGGAAGCACTCAGTAAGTATTCCTGTAGTGAGGGGTCCGTGAGTAAGGTTTCCAGAGTAAAGATTCCTTCAGAAAGGTTCCCTCGGCAAGGAATCCTCCAGTAATCATTATGGTGGCAAGAACTATATCGACGAGGACTTCATAAGAAGGATCCCTTTGGTACGGACTCCTTCAGTGAGGATCCCTTTGGTACGGATCCATACATGGAGCATGCCTTTAGTGCGGATGTCTTTCAGTAAGGGCCTCTCCCGTGAGGGCGCATGTAGTAATGATCTCTTCGCCGCATCCCGTGAGAAGGATTCCTTTTTTACCTGACGTTTTTTGAGACAAGTGCATTCCGTTAGGATTCATTCTGTAATGGTTAGTTGCTACAGGATCTGTTGATGGTGACTTATTCAGAAAGGATTCCCCTAGACCGATGAAGGTCTCCGGGCGTGTTCGTGAACCGTTCATACGACGGTTCATGTTGTAAGGTCTTTTCACCATTACTTTCTTACGTACCCAACCCATGTGCATCCAGTGGCCGGATGAATTGGCAAGTAGTACTGTGAACAATACAGTGCGAGCGCGATGCTTACATGTGCTAGCTACATGAGATGCGCATATCGTCCACGACTCACAAGACAACGATCAAATCGACGAGGATTCAGGCCCTTGGCTCGAATATGAAAGGGGGCGAGAACGAGTTGGCAGGGGAAGTATAGGGAACGGGGGGGGGGCGGGCGAGGAACCAGTGCAAAGCGCAGCAGCAGGGGGAAGGTTACAGGGAGAAGAGGACGACGACGAAAGAGGTGGGACGAGAAAGAACACGTTTTTAATTGCGCCGGAAATGCCGCGCTGCCTGCGTCATGTTTATAGCTAGTGCAGGAAGCCAGCGAGGCCCAGCTCGCCCGCTAGCTTTTCCGCCTCCTTTCCTGCACTTGTCATGCGCTTGTCAGTGCGAGAGCTGAACGCCCGCAGGCGCGCCGCCAGGTCTCCAAGCGGCCCGCGGGAAAAGGAACTCCAGATCGGGATGGCGCACCATCAGCAGGTTGCCCACCGCCGTCGCCCTGGACAGCATCACGCAAAGATGCAGCCAGAACGCGTCCTTGTCCTCTGCATCCTTGCACCCGGCGTTGTCGACAATGGCCCCGTGGGGGATGGTGCGGCCTTGGCAGGCCGTGGACGCCGGGGCCCCGGCGGGGGAGATGACGAAACCGCTGTGCGTGACCTTATGCTTGCGGAAATCGAACGGACTCAGGGTCTGAGGCCCGATGAAGACGAGGCCCGCCGCGCCCTGAGCGTCGATGCTGTTATCTAGCTGCGCGAGCTTCTTGCCGCAGGGGCCAGAATTGCATTTATCCATGCGCACCCACACGCCAGACGGCAGGTACCGAGGGTACGCGGGACGTTGTTCGGCTTTCGCTGCCTCTACTCGCCCTCATCCTTCGGATTGACGGCCACGCGCACGACCTCGCCGTCGGCGTCCTTGATGAGCCCCCTGTCGAGGTCCAGGTGCTCCAGCTGACGTATGGTCATGCCCACGCGCAGAGGTAGCATCCCGTGAGTGCCGCCCGGGATGATGCGGTTGACCAGCTTCGCGGGCAGGTCAACGGGAAGTTGGGCGTGGATTTGTCGATTGCTTGGATGAGGCTCTACACTCGCCCCAGTGACGCGGCATCTCTCCTTAGGCGCATCATCATCCACCGACCCGACGATGACGACAACACCCGCGGCGACGACGACGACGACCTCCCAGGGAAACCCGACCAGCCGATCGGAAGGTGGGCCCACTCCCCCTTTCTCCTTCATCCTCCCCCTCCTGCTCTTCTTCCCCCTCCTCTTCCTCCTCCTGCTCCTCCTCTTCCTCCTCCTGCTCCTCCTCCTCCTGCTCCTCCTCCTCCTGCTCCTCCTCCTCCTGCTCCTCCTCTTCTCCCCCCCCCCCCTCTGTTCTCTTATCCTCCTCATCCGGTGGGCCGCCCAGCCCCCGAAAAAACCGCGTCAACTCGCAGCCCCCCAGGGAAGCGAGGGGCCCAATCTGAATCTGGGAGGTGCCTCACTCCGCTGGACCCACCAGCAGCCCTCGAACATGGCGACAGTTTCGCAGACCGCAGCCCTCCCCAGGGATGGCG